ACCATACAAGAGGCGACACAAGTGTTCATGGATGCCATCAAGGAAGGTGAAGACTTCAGCGACGAGCTGTGCTTCCTTCAAACACACAGCAAGGAGCCCGCAAGGGACAGCGACGTTGCCACCGAAAACCCCAGGAGTGGGCATAAACTCAATACAGCGGAGCATGGGGCAAAGGAAAGCAATATCCCAACACACGTGTGGGGGCAAACGTTAGAGTCGTTCCAGTTTGCTCAGCCAAAAGGACGAGTAAACCCAAATTGGATATTGCTCGATAGTCAGGCTACGTGTAACTGCATATGCAACCCACGATTATTGCGGGATATCCGTGAGCATCCCGACGGTGAAAGAATCCGAATTCACTGCAATGCCGGGAGTGTTCTAATCACCAAGGTCGGTGATCTCCCTGGGTTTGGAAGAGTGTGGTATCAGGAAGGAGGACTGGCGAATGTCCTCTCATTAGGGCTCGTATCAGATAGCCATAGGGTCACACTGGACACAGCAATCGCACAGTCTTTCTTTGTCCACAAACAAGACGGGACTACGCGACGGTTCGACAGGATGCCATGTGGGCTATATGCATGCGACCTAACCGATACCAGTGGCGTGATCCTCACAGTGACAACTGTCAAGGGACAGAAGCAGTTCTACTCCGATCTGGACCTGAAGAGGGCCAAGACGGCGAGGAAGCTCCAAGAAACACTCGGCTTCCCAAGCGTGAAAGCATATCTCCACATGATAGACAACAACCTCATTATGAACTGTCCAGTAACCAGACGCGACGTGCTGATGGCAGAGGACATATACGGTGTCAACACGAACATCGTGAAGGGCAAGACCGTGCGGAGGAGACCAACTCACACCCGAGAAGACATCGAACCAGTACCTGCTGCCATCCTGAAACGATACCGAAAGGTGACACTGGGAATAGACGTTTACACGGTGAATGGAATCAAGTTCTTCAGGTCGATATCAAGGCATATCAACTTCAGAACCAGTAGAACCATACCGGACGCGAAGATGGAAACACTGCTCTCCTGCGTGAAATCCACCATTGGGCTCTATGCAGCAAGAGGTTTTGTGGTGGTCCAGCTGATGGGCGACAACGAGTTCAACTGCCTCAAAGATCCGTTGCTTGAATTGTCCCCACCTGTGAAGTTTCACGGCGCTGCACCCAACGCTCACGAACCATTCATTGAAAGAGACAACAGAACAAGTAAGGAACAAGTGCGGTGTACTTTTGCGTCAGTGCCATTCAAGGCAATGCCACCAAGAATGATTATCGAACTGGTAAACGGCGTAGACTACTGGCTGAATTACTGGTGCAACTCATCCGGAGTGTCAACCACAATTTCGCCTCGACAGCTTTTAACGGGAACGAGATTGGACGCACAGAAACACTGCAAGTTTCAATTCGGGGACTACGTGTTGGGCCACGAAGAGAGCGGAGACAACTCCATGGACCCAAGGGCACGGGACGCTATATATCTCCGGCCCACAGGGGACGTCCAAGGGGCAATGTACCTATTCGACCTCGCGACGCAGAGGCGAATACGACGAAAGACAGCAACACTGGCACACATGACGGACACTGTCATCAGACGAGTGGAAGAAATCGCAAGGAAACAGAACTCACCGGATGGTTTGATCTACGGGGATGCACACGGGCAAACCACCATCATGGATATCGATACCGATTCCCTGGCCTCCGATGAGGATGCATCAGACTGCTCATTTGTGCCATCAGATGACACATCAATCGCCTCGGATCTCTCAGGAGTGGATAGCACTGCTGACGAGATCACCGTAGGCGCTGACGATGAAGGGACCATGGTCAGCTCAACTGATGAAAGCAACTGTTATAATGAAAGCAGCGGATTGAATGCGGACACGGATACACTTGATGACCGTGCCAGTACGGCGAGACGTAGAATTCTACAGAGACGTGACAACACAGAAAACACGAATCAACCAGGTGCGGGTACAACGAAAAACCCAGGACCGGACACGCGCCTGCAAGAGACAGGGGAAACCGAAGTTAATAAGCCCAACAGCGGCAATGACCTGTCAGTCTCGGTGAATCACGCGAACAATGAAGCGCCCAACGAGCGTGACGAGCAACACGATACGGACGACGACAGTCGTACGGGGGACAGCTGCAGCGTGAGCAGCAACTGCAGTAGTCATAAAAGCAACTGCAGTGAAAATGAAAGCAATGACCATGGCGATCAAGCGGACTCAACAGGGCCAGCAGCCCAGGACACGACAGAGGATGAAGGGGAAGATAGCTCGGTAAGTCAGGAAGAAACAAACACCCGAGTGCTCCGGCCCCGAGTTACAAGAGCACATAATAAGTTTGGGAGTGCCGACGGGTTCACTCCAAGCGTGCACCACAGAACATCGTCATCAACAGTTGATCACAACTGTTTCTTCACTGTCGGGTTCAGGGAAGCCGTAAACAGGGTAAGCAAACAACATGAGCAATACATGTTCATTGCGGCGGCCATAGCCAAATATAATAACATCGACGCCTCCCTCGTGACAAAACAGTACGGTGTTAAAGCCGGTCTGAAAATATTCGGTACACTAGGGGTAGAAGCGGTGCTGAAAGAGCTTCGACAACTACATGACCGGGAAGTCGTTAGCCCTGTGCATATTAGGGACCTCACTGGAGAGGAGATCAAGCGTGCTCTCCCTTACCTCATGTTCCTCAAGCGGAAAAGGTGTGGAACCATCAAAGGTCGGGGATGTGCAGACGGAAGGTCGCAGCGGGAATTCATATCAAAGGAGGACTCATACTCCCCAACAGTGTCCCTACATGCCCTCATGTTATCCTGCCTCATTGATGCAATCGAAGGGCGTGATGTGGCAACAGCCGACATACCAGGGGCTTTCTTACAGACTCCTATGCCACCGGACGAGGTGGTGCACTTACGATTTGACGGGCCCATGGCAGATATCCTCACTAGACTGGACCCAAAGCTCTACCAACCACATCTGATCACTACAAAGAAGGGACATAAGATGCTGTATGCAAGGGCCGACAAGGCTATTTACGGAACCCTCCGAGCGGCTATCCAAGTTGACTGAGTGGGGCTTTGAACTGAATCCGTATGATGGGTGTACCGCCAACAAGAACATTGAAGGAACACAGTGCACCATTGTGTGGCATGTGGATGATCTTAAGATATCACACGAGAGCCCAGAGGTCGTGACACACGTGTTGAAGCTTCTGGAGGAGGAATTCGGCCAGGATGCACCACTAACAGTAACAAGGGGAAGAATTCACGACTATGTTGGCATGACTATCGACTATACTGAACAAGGCAAGGTGATATTCAACATGTTTGACTACGTTGAAGGAATACTGTCTGAACTGCCAGAGAGCCTAAACGAGACACGGATCACCCCAACACCGGCCAGCAGCCATCTCTTCCAGACACGAGAGGATGACACATTGCTGAGCACAAAGGATGGGGAGCTGTTCCATCATTTCGTGGCCCAGCTCCTATTCGCCAGCAAAAGGGCTAGACCTGATCTGCAGACAGCCATTGCTTTCCTCTGTACACGAGTCGCATCTCCAGGGGAAGATGATTGGAAGAAACTAAGGCGAGTGATGGGATACCTCCGGTCTACCGCTTTCGTGCCTCTTGTGCTGGGATGGGATGGTTCCGGTCAAGCTAACTGGTATGTTGATGCATCCTTTGCTGTCCACACGGACATGAAAAGCCACACAGGTGCCATGCTTACATTCGGACAGGGAGCAGTTATGGCCATGTCTACCAAGCAAAAACTAAACACTAAAAGCTCAACAGAAGCCGAGCTAGTTGGCGTTGATGATGCCCTACCATATAACCTGTGGTGTAAGTATTTCTTGGAGCACCAGGGCTATATGGCAACAGGTTGCACCAGTAGCGAACAACAAAGCCCACAGCGACTCGGGAGTGCAAATGTGCTGCACCAAGACAATACGAGTGCAATGCGGCTTGAGATGAACGGAAAAGCCTCAAGCACTAAAAGAACAAGACACATCAATATTAGGTACTTTTTAATTACTGATCGAGTTAAGAAAGGAGAGGTGACTATCCAATACTGCCCAACTGGGGACATGATTGCTGATTTCTTCACCAAGCCACTGCAGGGATCACTATTCCGTCGGTTGAGGAACACTATAATGGGAATCAGCGACGATGATTTCACAAGATACCGTATTGAATACTATGCAGCAAAACGCACCAACAGCTGTGGCAATTTACCGGTTCCACCAGTGTCAGCAGAGTAACCGTCACTGTGTGTGAACCGCAGGAGTGTGTTGGAACACAGCTCGTCAGTGCGCGTGCCAGCCAAGATTGGTGCGCACAATCCAATATATTAGCCAATGAGAAGGGCTGAACAACACCCAATANCAGAAGATCCTGACGCAAAAACCATGATGTTCTGCCTTCTTGTTTTACATCAAAAGCCAATTTCTCCAGACTCTTTTTCAAACGTTTTGAATGAAGAAGAACAGGGGGTCTTCCAAAGTGCTTCTGATAAACACTTTTGAATTGGTCAAGACGAATCTTGTTGTTGTTGCTTGCCAGTAGTTCACACACTTTTTGTGCTGTGCAGACGTCGTGTTCGGTATCACTCGCGAACGAAGGGATTACCGGTACTACCTCCAAATCGGTTTGCGTTGTGTGCAACACGTATGTGCAGGACTCAGCGTTTGGGATTTTCTTGTCACAGTGCACTCGCTTGGGTTCGTACCCGTCGATACTCGATGCAGTGAATGGAATCTTTTTGCTAATGGTGAAACCACAAGTTCGTGCCACTCCTTCTAGCCCCCACGCCTTCTCGGCTCTGTTGGTCCGCATTGTGATGTAAATGGCCCCGTCGGTTTTCAAAATCCCACGCGCGCTCTGGAAAAACCCGGCCAARAGAGTGGACCCCTGTTGGCTCAAAGGTTGAGTGACGTTCGCTGGATACGGGAAGTTCCAAACGATACTCTCCCAGACTCGTTTGCTACCAAGGCTACCGGTTTGTGTCACGTCAMGACTGTGCAGTACGGTTGCATCGGTGCTGSCAGTCAGAACGGCAATGTTGTCCCTGGCGCGAGCGTATTTCTTCACGGCAACCATCTTYGAGTCGAGCGAGGTTGCCGTTATCCTTGCAGTGCCATTGTTCGATTGGTTTTCCCGCAAGCAAGCCAMCGAATACGAAAAGTCGCCGTCGCCCACCACWAGAATCTTCCCTTGCAAAGGTGGAAACCGAAAGGTAGCACAATTGTTTGCGCCTTGAGAAAACAAACGTCGCAAACRAATTGAGTAAGCCATTGTAGAATGGGTCCGTGTAAGCTCTGGTTTGCAGAGTCCCGAACGGAAGATTGTGATTTCCTTCGAGAAATCCTGCCAGTTTKCATCCTAGGATGTTTTTGAGCGAGTGCTACATCCCAAGAACCAAATAAGAGACCCGCGGAGTATATGGCAAAAAGAATGGACAAAATTTTCGAATTCGCAAATCAACCCAGCAAAGCCGATCCAGTCGACACTTGTCMCGCATGGACTAGGATCTTCTCCGTGACTTCAACGGGTCTAATCGAGCAAAGCTGGGCAAGTCGACACCTAGGTCAMATRAATCGGGAACACGCCCGAAGCTTCCACGGTTTTCCACGTTCGCCCTATCTCCATCCTCGCTATCCACGGCACCACGATGCATTGGTCTACTCGTATTTTACCTTTTTTTGTCCCGCTCAAGAATTCATGCCGTGGCAAGGCATCGTGATTAAAGATTGCCTTCGCTCCGATAAGATACGGGAAACGGTACCATCTTCTGCGGCGATGTACGCTTGTTGTTGGTACAGCAGACCACAACCCAATGGAGACGTTTTCTTTTCCCGGATGTAATTCCAAACGCTGAACGATTGGAGCATGCGAATGTGCAAAACTATGGTTCCATTTTACAGAAACGGCACGGTTGTGAAAGTGGATGCATTCTGATGCATCATTGGTCTCTCGATTCTCATTGTTTCTGTTGGTTCTCGTTTACTTCGCCTTCTGTCCCTCAAACTCCCTAATTGGCATATTCAGAATCCTCATGAAAAATTGGGCAAGATAC